TAATTATGATTAAAGAAAGGACCTTGTGACCGAGAATGTTTTAATTTCATTTATTCCTTTGGTCTCCTTATACCATTATTCCCAGATTCCTTCTTGGCTTTAACCCCCCCTATGCCCTAATGAAGCTTCTAGTATTATTATTGACCTCCTTGTGCTTATGAAAAAGAAATTGTTATAAATTAATTAATATATACAGTTTGATGAGTTCATTGACTCATATTAGTGAGTTTTAAAGTAAGTGATAGTTTTTGCACATAACCCATAGTGGGGATTTATAGAATTTTAGCCAAATTAAAATTCAATTTTTGTGCCACATCATTTATCCATCGGGAGATTCTTGTATGTAATTGGTGTATATAATTTGTGTGTAATAAATTTATAAAGGGTACATTATTATTTCTTATCATTAGAGGTTGTAAAATAAACTAACTCGCCCAACCTGTCACAAATTAATTAAACAAGAGATGAGAGTTATTAAGTGAACTGAAAAGACAACCCAACGTTTATTTATGGTTTGATGCTAACTTAACCCACCTCTAATTTTTTTTTTTTTTTGATACATAAGGAAAGAACCAATCATGTTAAAATCGAGATCTTAAGTAAAATCGAAAGGGAATTAAAAAATTGTAAAACGTAAAATGATAATGTAAAAAAATCGTAAAAATGTAAAAGCGTTTAGAATATTCGTAAAAACGTAAAAGCGTTTGGAATATTAGTAAAATTGTTTTGATGAAAAAAAATCGTAAAAACGTAAAATCGTAGTGATAAATCGAGATTTTAACAACAATAAGAATCCACCGCTAATTTCAAAACAAAAAAATGACTTGGTCAGTTAAAAATAATAATAATAATAATAATAAATTAAGCAATTTAACCCTTTATTTAAAAAAAAAAAAAAAACTAAATGACAGTTTAGGGTTGGTAAACCCATCACGTATATCGAATTGTGTATAAAAAAAAGTGAAAAAAACTTCCACACAGAATCAGTTTGCCACAAAATCATGACGGGTAGTCTCATGAAAAGTTTGCAAAACAGTACAAGAAGACAAAAAGGTTAGTTTCCTACATTTATCTTTGTCTTCTTAATTGCAATAATTTACATTAAAAAAAAAATCACTCATTGCTGGTTATTTCAAATGTTGACAGTTGACACAGACCACAAGTTTTATTCTCTTGAAGGCATGCTGCATGCAATACAATTATGTAAAGATCGAAGCAAACATGGTAACGGCAGTTTCAAGTCAATTTCTGGGGCTGGGAAGAATGGATAATAAGTATCATATTCAGGAACCGGAAATTATAACTCTTGAAGATGCTATGACCCTAGTTCCACAATAATCCAACCTATTATTATGCCATTGCACTGGAATGCGTGCATCAGAATGTAATCGGCTTAACATAATTTATATTGATAAAGTCTAAGCAAGAATTTCTGAATTGCATATTGACAATGACATCCCAGATCAAAATAGGGTCTAGTTTTTCGACGATACTAAATGAATAACTGTTTCGTATTCAAAATAGACGCCTTCACCAATCTCATCAAATGTCGCCCACCTACAACTTTTTTTTTTTGACTAGAAAACAAATCAAAATAATACTATATAACACTATGCAAAAAAAATACTAAGTAAATAACATTTAATATATACAAAGAATCACTAGTATTCTAATATCAATTAGGTTTTTTTTCTTAGGTTTGTACAATATGATATTATAATAAACAAATATATGCTTACCAAAAAAAAAAAAAACAAGTATATATATATATATACAATTTAATAACCATATATTGGACACAAGTGCAGAAACTTGCCAAGTCAGCAATGCAGTTAAGCAGTGCCACGTCAGTCCTCTAATCACGGAATCACCAATGGATTTAACTGCACCCACGTGATATAACGTTTATGTTAGTTGTGAAGTTATGATTAGTTTCTTAGTTACGTTGCTTAAGTATTCTTGTATATAAGTATACGTATCTGATACATTGTGAATATAACAAGATTCATTTTCTTCAATTCCAGTAATGGAGTTTTTCAGTTAACTCTTATTGATTGATCTTTTGTAATATGGTATCTAATCAAGTTTTTAAGCCTTGATTACTTTGGGATATAAATAATCCCATGCAGATCACTCACTTTTCTTCAAGAAAGATCATTCTTCATTCACGACACTTTTGATTTATGTGGATGACATTGTGCTCTCTGGGAATGACTTAGCAAAAATAAATAAGGTTAAGCTATTTCTGGATTCTTGTTTCAAAATAAAAGATTTGGGTGATCTTTGTTTCTTTTTAAGGAAGTATGCTCTTGAACTTCTCTATGATAGTGGCATGTTGAGCTGCAAACCAGCCACTACACCCATGGAACCAACCACTAGACTTCATCATGCCAAAGATTCATCTGAAGTTCTGCCTGATCCTCAACCTTATCGTCGTTTGGTTGGTAGGTTGTTGTATCTCACCGACACTCGGCCAGACTTGTCATTTGCAGTACATCAATTAAGTCAATTTGTTTCTTCTCCTACTGATCTTCACATGACAGCTGCTAATCCTATTCTCCGTTATATCAAGAGTTCACTTGCCAAAGGGCTCTTCTTCTCATCCTCCAATTCTATGTTGTTGTCAGGTTTTGCAGATAATGACTGGGATTGTTGCCTAAATACTAGGAGATCTATTTCAGGTCTTTGTGCTTTCTTAGGATAGATTCATTAGTCTCTTGGAGATCGAAGAAACAATACACAGTCTCGAGATCCTCAGCAGAAGTAGAGTATCGTGCACTAGCCTTCATATCGTGTGAAATCCAATGGCTCCGTCTTTTACTTCAGGATTTGCAAGTCTCATGTTCCAAGCCTGCATCTGTTTTCTGTGATAATCTTTCAGCTATATACCTTGCAAAGAATCATGTTTTTCGTGAACGCTCGAAACACATCGAGATTGACTGTCATGTCATCAGGGAACGTATTAATGACGACACTATTCATCTCCTTCCAGTTTCCTCATCGGCACAGTTGGCTGACATCTTCACCAAGTCTCTTCATCCTCGTCCGTTCCATTCTCTTATTGATAAGCTTGGTCTCCATGATCTTCTACGTCCAGCTTGTGGGGGGTATTGGACACAAGTGCAGAAACTTGCCAAGTCAGCAATGCAGTTAAGCAGTGCCACGTCAGTCCTCTAATCACGGAATCACCAACGGATTTAACTGCACCCACGTGATATAACGTTATGTTAGTTTTGAAGTTATGATTAGTTGCTTAGTTACATAGCTTAATAGAGATGGCAATATGGGTTGAACCCGACGGGTCAACCCGTCAAAACGGGTCGGGTTACATATTCCAACCCACCAACCCGCCCCGTCAAGTTGTTGGTCAAAACGGGTTGGCAGCGGGTCGGGGTGGGTTGGCCCGTCGAGTCAATTTTTATTTTTTTTACTATTAGGTAGTATTTTATTTGTTTTTAAGCTTTCGCAATATGCAATTTTTTTATTTTAGCACTCCCTGGAAAAAATAGAGAAGAAAATTTTTATTTATAACAAATGTTATCTATATATGGAGACAAAAATAAGTTCCTAAAGAATGTTTAATTAAATATTAATAAACATTTAGACTTGAGATTGGGAAAAAATTAAGGGAAGTGTGAAATAAAAATAATTAATATTATAAAATTAATAAAATATAATTTATTTTTAATTTTTAATTATTTTTTTATTTTTTAGGCGGGTTGGCCCGCCTACCCACTACAAGACGGGATGGATTGAGGTTTTCAACCCACATTCAAGCGGCGGGTCAGAACGGGCTAACCCGTTTTTAGCAGGTTGACGGCGGGCCGACCCGTTTTGCCACCTGTATAGCTTAAGTATTCTTGTATATAAATATATGTATCTCGTACATTGTGAATATAACAAAATTCATTTTCTTCAATTCTAGTAATGGAGTTTTTCAGTTTTCCCTCATTGGTATTTTGTAATACTACATACAGACTTATGTTTATGCCTTTTAAATTTTATTAAAATACCATTATCCTTATTCCTTATTCTTACGACACTAACCAATATTTCCCAATGTTAATCATTTGTTAAAGGGGAGACATAGAAAGATTAAAAAGATATATATTCTAAATATGGCAATATCGGAGCAAATCCGCGCCCGTGGCCTAATGGATAAGGCGTCTGACTTCTAATCAGGCGATTGTGGGTTCGAGTCCCACCGGGCGTGTTCCCTTTTTTTAGGCACTGATTTTTAGTTAAACACAACTGTTAAATTTCTGAGATAACATTTTCGCCAGGACATGAATGGATTGCACGAGAGGGTGGCAGCTGCATCATCTAAGCTCCCGAATCTCCTTTCATATAGTCATGTGAAAATTCTAGTTATACCTATCTCTTTGTTGACATTAAATAAGTATAGTCTAATTAAAAATTTTAAAGAATATAAAATTGTATTATTTTAGTCAAAATTATTATATTTTATAACGAGAAAGACAAAAATCTTGGTAGGAGAAAATTATATATCTTTTAAATTTAAATATTAAATAAAAAATACTAACTTTATCCTTTAAAACGACAAAGATTTTTCCAAAAAATAAATACAAGACTTTTATATGCATATAAAATTAACATGAGAGAATTAATTCACTTTTCATTCATATTGTTACAATGTTACTACACTCGATGTTAAATTCTTCGTAGTAGTAATGGAATGTACTGTAGAATAAAACCAATTCATTTAAAAATTATCAATTATAACTTAACTTTTCTTTTAGTTTTGAAAATTATAATAACCTCCCACATGTTTGATTTTTTACTAAGCAAATTCCATGGTTTTTTTATTTTCAAACAAATACACTCAAGTCTTTATTACAATTCTCTACTCTCTTTTTCCCCAGACATATGTGGACGTGATTTAGTGGAAACTTTTTATTTATTTTTTTAATTTGGGTGAATGAAGGTGGGTAGAATTTATCAGAACTCGGGAGGGGTAAAAACATTGCTGTAGAAATAATACATAAATTAAATTAATGACAATTAATTAAGAAAACATATGGTAAATGATACAACTGAATGTGGAAAGACAACAAAGAGGAATGAATAACACCATCCCTACAACACAAAAAAGCATCTTTCCTCATAGTAAAGGTATCCAAATATGCCAAGTAGCCCGTAGCTCTGCATGAAAATTACATAGCAGTAGCACAGATTGCCCTTGGTAAATTCTTACTTCTCCATAACCAAGCAATAAAGAAGGAAGGCATAGGCTACCAAAACCAAAGGGGGAAAAAATTATCATGTAAGTAAAACCAACCAGTAAACTATATGTAAGTGCCCCTATAGGCCTAGCACTCATCTCAATACATTTCATCACCATCACCATGTGTGATTAACTTGCCACAGGCTTTGCAATGACTTTCTTGATAGCTTCAGCATAAGTCCTGTGCTGATAGGTGAGAGTGGACTCAAGCAGGTCCCAAAGTGAGGTCTTAGGATTCCAGCCTGACAAATAGGTAGTTGCTCGTTAACAGGTAAAGTATCTTAATAATATTAAAGGATACATAAGGTTAAATGAAAGATGAAACCTACCAAGCTGCTTATTAATTATGGTCATGTCAGGAATTCTCTTGTCACTATCATCGTATCCCTCACCATAAAATTCTTTGGAGCTCACATCAATTGTAGGTTTTTCCAAAGTTGGTTCTCCACTTACCTTTGAATAAACCTGCAGAATTGAAACGAAAATAGAAATTGAACACCTCCAAACAAAACGCTGAAATTCTAGTAATATGTTCAAACAATCAAAACTTAATCCTTTAACCTGAGTCATCATTTCAGCAAGCTGCCTAACTGTAACCTCATTGTTTGGGTTACCGACATTAAAAATATGTCCATTGGCCCTGGCAGGATTTTCCTGTTTAAAAAGTTATGTTCACGTTTAGAGGACCAGCCAAAAAGAATAATAGTTTAAAGATGAGCTTCTACAACCAAATAATCTATAACTAAAAAGCATATAGTCTCATTGATGATTGGCTATGGGAACCTACAATCATTAATAAGACAGCTTCAATAGCATCCTTAATATAAACAAAAGTCCTCTGGGATTGACCCCCATCCACAAGCTTGAGGGGCTCTCCTCGGAGGAGATTCTGCAGAAAAAGGAATGGAGAAAAAATTCAGAACTGTTCATCAAAAAGTTTGAATAAAGCATATACAAGCTTAACCAAAGTCTAAATAAAAAAAGTAGACTGACATTGCTAAAGCATGCCAGAACCCGAGGAACACCCTCACTTGGACCATCAACGCCAGGAATGAAATCCATTCGTGGTCCAATCCAATTAAAAGGTCTCACAATTGTGAACTCCAAGCCATTTTCAGCACCCTCGGCTGTCAATGAAAGACAAGTCAAAACTTGAAAATAGAAACAGAACATACACCCAAAAAAGAACAAAAAGAAATCAGCTCACCATAAACCAGCCTTTCAATCAACTGCTTTGCACAGGCATAGGACCATCTCTGCTTTTCAATTGAACCAAAAATGCATGGAGACTCATCTTCTTTAAGAACATAGTACGCAGGATCCTAACAAAACATTGGAAATTATATAGCTGAGCTTATTACAAGAAAGAAGAGATCAAACTACACCCTTGGCCTTCTTTCTACTAATTACCAAAACCAATAGCAGCAACAAAAGGAAAATTGACAATAAAGACAGATAGGAACTGTTCATTGAAAAGATCCATCATTACTAAATACTTCAGAGGAAGTTAACAAACGGTTCCTAAAGAAACCAAGAAAAACCATATATGTGTGCGTAACTCACACACTAAATGCTAATAACCAACCAAAATCAAATTATTTATTTAGTAAAAAGAGAAAGGGGCACATGCATATCATCATTAAACCCGTTAATCTCAGATAGGTAGTGTGGGGTGGGACAAGACAACCACCGACAGATTCCAAAAGTAACGGATGCATGGCAAATTCGAAACCATCATTGGTTTATGCACGGATCTGAATTAACTTCCTCCAAGGGAAAACGAAAGCTTACCTGCCGAAGAGGGCTATCTTTTGGGAGAAAGCTTCCAATCGTTTTCCCATACACTTCACACGTAGAAAAATGAATCAAACGCTTGTTGTTTTCCGAACAGTACTTCACCTAAAGAAGAAAGAAACCCACATCAATCAATCCTTCCAACCAACATAGCAACAATCAGAAAGATCCAATATTTGGATTCGAAAGAGATAGAGAAATGCGTACCACGGGAAGCGCATCAATGAAATTGCTGTAAATGGTGTCCAAAGGGCGCGTGTTGTAGTCCGCAGGAGTACATATCGCAGCGAGATTAATGGTCTGAAAGAAAGAAAAGAAAAGAAAAAGACGTGATTTTGAGGGAAACCCAGATAAATAGAAATGGAAAATTGAAATGGGTAGGTATGAAAATGAACCAGATCTGCCATCTTGATAAGACCCTCGAGCCTGGAATCGTGCTTGATGTTGAGACGGTGAAAGTGGATGCGACCAGACCAAGGGAGCGTGTCGGGTTCCAAGAGATGTTTGATCTTGTCATTGTAAACATCCAATGCAAGCACCTTGTGCGGCGTCTCCGCCATTAGCTTCTCGCATAGGTGGGACCCAATGAACCCTCCGGCACCTATCATGCAAATCGTCATTGCCTTAATGGGGTTCCCATCCAGATCTACTCGCATGCTCGCCATGACAGTGATGAAACAAACGAAGATGTTTTGCGTGTGTGTGTGTGTGTGTGGCAAAGAAGGACTTGTTGCTATGAAACGGAGTAATTGTAAATGTGATGTTAATATACTGTTGTCATCTCATAACGTGTGACATTGATTGATTCTCTTTGATGATATACTGAAGTGTGTGTCACTGCTAATCCATATTTGAGTCTCGCACGCAAGGTATATATTTGATTTGGGGATTTTAATTTTGCGTGTTCTTCTGGAAAGATTTTATATGTTTATGTTTATTACATCGGTTTATTGTACTGATGATTCATGATTCGTTTGCTATAAATGGACAGAAAATCTTAAATAAGATTGGGGACATTTCCAAATGGATTTTATAAAGTAGAAAAAGTGATTGTGTAATGTTATAAAGATTCGTTTTGCGTGTCATAATTTATTTTATTTTTTTGCTTTAAAAAATGTGAAGCCCGTAAAATGTTGTGTATGTAGGAAAGTTTATGTTAAAGGACAAACTAAGACCCCTCTGCAAATTTAACCCCTTTTGCGTCATTCAATAAAATATTATTACTTTCAGAATTATGCATTTGTTAAAAATGCATATAGTAAGGGTACTATTTAGGTATTAAGAATTATTCCTTATTTATCAGTTTTCTTTTTAAATCATTTTTTTAAATGAAACATGATTGATGATTGAATAAGTGTCAATTATTAAATTTGTAAATAAATTAAGGGGGTGTATTAGATTTGGATTTTAAAAGATTTTAGTGAATTATTTTTGCACAAAAAAATCCATTGGTATTCAATTAAGATTTTAAAGGATTAAAAAAAATCATGTTATATTGGATTAAGATTTTAAAAGATTATTGTGAGCTAGCCTGTGAGTCTCACATTGTGACTCGTATACGGGCATGAATGAATAAAGATTGGATAGTGAAGATAAACCACACTTATAGAGAAGGAAATTGTTGCGCTGATTGGATCGCTAACTTGCCATTTGAAAATCTAGAACAAGAGGATTACTGTTCATTTCTTGATCCTCCTTTAGAAATTCATTTGATGTATATAGCTGATTTAAGTGGTTTGAGTAGGACTCGTTGTATTTCTTCTTCTTAGCCTGGTTGGGGTCTTACCCCATCCAGGATACAAAAAAAAAAGATTATTTTAGAGTCCGTCAAAATTCGTTGGTATTCATTTAAACAAAGAAAAAATAATCTTGTGGTATTCAAAAAGGGAAAGACGTTTGTCCTTTTAAAGGATATAACTTTGTGTCATTTTAGATCCTAACTGTTGATTTCCATCAATTAATGGTTAGGCTTTATTGGATCAAATTTATTAATTAATTATTAATTCGTATTTATCCAATAAATCCTAACCGTTAATTGACGGAAATCAATGGTTAAGATCTAAAATGACACAAAGTTATATCCTTTAAAAGTACAAACGTTTTTTCCATTCAAAAATCTTACGATTTTAATGGATTTTCTATTGGTGTGGATTTCGTGAGACTTTTTAGTGAGAAATATAAATAGGATGTCTCTCTCACAATCTCACCCTAACCCCTAGAATTTCTTAAAATTTCTCTATTGCAATATCTTCTTCTTCCTTTGATAGGTCCACATGCTCGAAATCGAGTTCCGCCGCAAAGCTCAAAAATAATAGATTTTTGAGCGATTTTCATCATAAAATAACTCAGAAACAATAACCCAACATAATTTTAATCTAAAATTCATCTCAAAAATAACAGATTTTGGAGCAATTTTTGAAAATTTAAAAACGATTTTTCAAGCAATTGGTCATATTTTTCTTTGTACGAAAATGTGTTATTTTTGTATTAAAAATAACATAAAACAGAGAAAAAAATAACAGGGAAACAAAAACTCCCAAATCAATTTTTATTTTACATCAATGAAACAAGATCGATTTAAAGAGAGATAGAAACTTTCATAATATGAACACTATGTTTCATAATAGCACATTCATGAACGAAATCCCTTTGCTATAGGAAACGATTTCAAACAATTTTTGTGTTAATAGATCACTAAAAACTTGTTTTTCAAACCTCCAAAGAAATTTAAGATTTCAAAGTATCAATTGAAAATAATTTGAGAAATTTTTTAAACTTTCATGTAATGAAACACAGAAATTCAGATTCAAAATTTTCCTGGAATGCTTAATGAAAACATGCATGTGATATGTGGTTAGAAGACTCATATCACGTGGAACAAAAATCTCAAGGTTTACAAGATTAATTGCAAAAAATTTCAAATGAAAATTTATCATGAATTTTACTAATTGAGAAAATTATATTTTTTTTTATTTTTTATTTTTTTTTGGTAGGCATTATGTTTTATTTTTTATTTATTAATATCATTGCATTTATTTGTTACTTTTTTTATTGACTCTTGTAATTTTGAATATTTGTTAAAATTTCATATGATTTATTAAAATCTTATAAATCCATATTGTTCTTTCAAATCTTATAAATTCCATTAAAATCCAATCTTATGAAATCTTGATTGTAAAAAAGGTCTTTAAAGTCTCTCCAATTCTGAATAGTCTTTTAAAATCTATAAAAAGGTTATCTCAAAAAAAAATCTTTTAAAATCCTAATCCAATACACCTCATAAGTTCAAATTTATTTTGAACCGTATATGATGTAGATATATTATTTACAGGGACAGAGTGTTTATAATATCTTATTATTAAATAAATTGTTATATTGGTTTCAGTAAATGATTTTAATTCAACCTTTACTAATATAATAAGATTAATATATAATTTAACTCAACAGTAAAATGTGTATTTTAAAAAAAATATGTTGTTAATATTTATTTTAGAGAAATTAGTATTTACACAAAATTCAAATAAATTATAAGTTTATTGTTTACTTAATTTTATAAGATTAATACTATTGTCAATTAAATATATATTTTTATAGATTTGCGTGTGGGGCCCACTTTTTCGAAACTTAAAGTCTGCAAAACAATAGAAGTCAATAGGTGCGAGATGTAACTTAGAGCATATTTGGTGCATAGTATAGGATAAGGTCCTGATTGTATAAGACCTGATTGATTTTTAATACTATTCAGCGTTTGGCACGGTATTATATAAAATAATATATTGTATAAGATAATATCATCTAATATTTGGTAATGCACTGTATAATACCATATATGATAAAATTAATTTTTTTTAATAAAAATATTCTTTAATAAAGAATTTATATAATTCTTCAAAAAATATCATATGATATTAAATTTTATAAAAGTTTATTGATCAGTGTGTCCAAAATATAAATTAATTTTTATAAAAATAAAAATATTCAATTTTTAAAAATTAATATATTGAAAAATTAATTTTTAATAGATTAATATTAAAATAATATATTAATTTTTGAGAATTACATTGGTCAACAATGTTAATACATCAATATCTTACCAGGTCTTATCCCTCACCCTTAGGCTGGATTAAGTTATACATCGTTTTGATGTATTAAGGAATTATGTTGTATAATCTTATACTATACGATGGTCACATCAAACAACTGAAAATATCATAACGTATAGTATATACTTATACTATCATGTCTTATACGTCTCACCAAACAGGCCCTTAGTTGGTTTGGTGCTGAGTCCAAGGGTTTCGGGTTATGAGTTTAAAGGGCTTGAGTTTGACTCCTGATAAACTCACTTTATGGGTAACGGAGAACTCCTTGCTCTCTCAATCCGTGAAAGGAGATTAGTCTCATTCTATGTGAGGTGGGGAACAATAATATAAAATAAAATTAACATAAAAAGACAAATTTATTTTGAAATTGAATATTATTAATTATGAAATATTTTCTTAATTGTTGACTATTTTCTATCGACTAATAAGTTTTTTAATAAATAAAATTTGATATTAAAAATATGTATTATAAAAATTTAAAAATTAAACATACAAAACAAAACAAATTAAAAACATATATTAAACAAAATAAAGTAATCACGTTGGATTTTGTTTAAGAACAGATTCTTAATTAAATTAAATAGAATTTATAATATATACTCAAATCGTCATTTAACATGTATAAAATCATATTAAAATTACATTTATATATGATAAATAAAAATGTAAATAACTTAAAAGTAATATAATATTGTAATATTCCATATCTATATAAAGAGTTTACTTTTATTTGGGTGACCAAATATTTCACTCACCAATCCCGAACAGAATTTGTCGGTCCTGTGTAGAAGCCAACTATGTCGCTGAGTAAGTTAATTTATCACATTCTCTTTCTTATAATATATTATAAATTTTTTATTTAATGCTGTTACGTAATTTTTGGGTCCATGTTGTTATGTAATCTGTTGTCTTTTCACATCTTTATTCTTCGTTGTATTTCTTTAGTAAAACGATAATAACAATTGAAAAAATACCTTCTCTATAATAATTATATTATTACCATAAGAAGTATAAAGTTATAAAATAAAATAAAAATAGCAAAAAAAGTATATAATTTTTTTTAAAAACTATTAATAAATTAGTTTAGTAAATGAATTATATCAGCTAAATTTAAAATTAAAATAAACAGAATATGTATAAAAAATATGCATCCTAGGCTTAGACTGTTAAATATATGCGTGAAATTAAATATGTTAATCATAAACAGGTTATATAAAGAAATAAACAAGTTGTTGTTAAATTTATAAAAAAATATTTTATTGGAAAAAATTATTTTGAAAGTGATACATAAGACCGAGGAGTAGAAATATTACTTTATATAATTATATTCTTTCAAGATTGTGACGGTGCTTCATTGTTGAGGAGAGTTGCAATTAATTAAGGTGCTTGTTTTAAAATAAGTCAATTTGTCCTATTTTAATTTTTAAAAGTGGATTAAAAATTTCAAGCTTCCGACTCCAATTTACCTATATATTAAAAATGGGATTTTTTTTTTGAAATTATATGTGAGTCATATATAGAGAAAGTATCAAATAAAAACAAAAAAAAAGTTTAAATTGTATCCTAATGAATTGACCAACCCACGGCCAGTTGTAATAGATTGACAGGTTAAAAATATCAATTCAACTCATCATATATAACATATTAAACGGATTTTCATGACTAGTTTAACCATT